GAGCAAGTGCTAAGTAGGAGTTCAGTATGTACCCTCATGTTCATGGCATATAAGTGGCTGCACCTGGAGCTACGGTGTGTTAAGGAGAACATGTCCTGGACTTCACAGAGGCTGCCTTTAAGCTGTCTAGTTCTGTATGATGCTGTGATGCTTCCGCTTTCCAGAGCCAAGCCTGAATAGAACAAAGCAGGGAAATTACCTCCTAGCCTGGGACCTGGTGGCAGTTATCAGCTTGCTCGGAGGACCCAGGATCTGAGAGGGGCTGTGAGGACTCGGGGGCTTTCTCTATTAGGTTGTTTTAAAAAAAGAAAAAAAAACAAAATACAAAAAAGAAAGAGAGGGTTGAGGCATCTACCTATATTCGTGCTCATTATGCTGCCCCTGCATTGTCACTAAGTTATTTCCTGTGTGGAGGTGGCAGTGGTAGGAGCTTCACTTCCATGCATCAGGAGCTCTCAGGCAGCTCTCTTTGGACAGACAGTATATTGTGGAGAAAAGCAACATGGTCTGCAGGCTTGGCTTTGAGCATCAGTGCTGCCACTTCCTATGGGTCTCTGCAAGTTGCTTAACCTCACAGCCTGTTTCCTCATTTGTAAGATAGGAATGATAATACTACTGACCTCATAGAGAGAAAGGAAACAAGAAATGTGAAGGATGAAGCACAATGCCTGGCACAGAACAGGCACTCAGTAACCATCCTTATCCCAGGTCCCCTGCCTCCTGATTCACCTGCAAAAACAAATTTCAGGGACTCTGGGGAGGATTTTATCTGGACCCTGTGACCCCCTAAGGAGGGTCTTGCCCTGAACTTCAGTGCCCCATGAACAGGAGACCAGGAGTCTTTTCTCTTTGTTTTCCTTTGGCCTGTTTTTTATTTGGGGTCTGTGTGATTTCCTGGCAACAGCCCCGTTGGTGGTGAGAAAATATGTGTGTTTGCTATTTGAGGAACAAGCAGCTTGTTTCTAGAGGTTCCTCCCCCCACAATATTGTTGTAAAATGTAGTTCAGCAATGAATGTCCCTCAGTGCGGCACAGCTCAGACTCCCAAGTCTAGTCCAGCTTGGATTCTGTATTTCTGGGGATGCATATGGGCCAAATTGGCTTTCATGACATTTTTCAGTCTTTTGAAGTTTGACTTCAAGATTGATAGCCTTTTCTGGTTAGACTCCCTGGCAGCCCACTTTCTCCTCCCCAGTAAAATAACAAAGCTTGCTTCCACTCCTATGTTCCCATTTCTGTGGATGGCACTACTATCCTCCCGGTAGCTCAGGTAAAATCCTGGATTTATCCTAGACCCTGCATCTTCCTCCTTGTCACATCCTGTTACTCATTAGCATCTTTTGGCTTGACCTCCTTAGTATCCTTCAAAACCGGCCATGTCTTCCCGTCCCATGTCCATTGTTGTACGGCGGTCCCTTCCACAGCACCCTCTGCAGCCTCTACGCTAAGCACTAAGCACACTGAGTTACACTTTCTTGTTCTCGTATTTTTCCTTTCCATTAGTCTGTGGAAACCTTGGGGGACAGGGCCTATGAAGTAATCATCTCTGCATCTCCAGTGCCTCATACAGTAGTTGAAATAAATGTTTCCTGGATTAATTAAAAAAGGATATAAGACATTGTGTCCCCAGTTGGAAAGACTTTCTATATCAGAGGATAGACTAACGTTTGAAGAGGTGATTTCTGTGACCTGAAAATGACTCCCAATCCTATCTCCATTAATCCTGGGCTTGAATGAGATTGTACCCATTTGCGTTTTTCCAACTTTCAGCCAAAATGTTCTCAGTAATTAATTAGTCTCCTCAATATCTCAACAGAGACTATTCTAAGAAAACATAGGTATCGGTGCTGCCTGATGACCCACAGACATCTAAAACTTGACATGTCCAAAATTGGACTTATCCACTCCTTCCAAAATCTTTTCCCTGTCCTATGTTTCTTACTCCTGTGAGCCTTGTTACCTAAGCAGGAACACGAGAGTTATGCAAAACCTCTCCTAGCTCTGCCATCCTGCCATTCATTTGGGCACTGAGTTCTTCAGCATCAACATCATAACATCTCTTGAATCTGTACTATCCTCACCATCATTGTCTAGTTCCCACCCTCATCATTTCTGATAGGAACCTTCTGAACTAGGGGTTAATGGAGTGGATGATATTTCAGATACCATCAAGAAAAATGGACTCATTTTCCAGATGAGGAAACCAAGGTCTAGAAAGAAGAAAGGACTTAACCTAAGCTCATAAAGCCAGTTGATGATGCAACCAAGAATAGAAACCAGGTCTTTGCAGGCTGTCTCTTCTTACCATATCTAGCTGCTTTATTTTATTTTATTTTCTCTTAGTCTATCTTTCTCATTTGCTTCAGTTCAACAACAAAACACTTATTGAGAATCAGCTTTGTAACAAGCATTATACCAGGCATTGGAGGTCCAAAGGCAGGAGAACAGAATCTGGGGTCAGTAAAACTCTTGTCTCTTTCTCTCTCTCTGTCTCTCTGTTTTTCTCAACAATGGATGGCCTCCTCCTTCAGTGCAGACAGAGGTCAAAATGTACATGAACATGGCCCTTCGGGTTTTGTTCTCTCTTTACTGTGCATATGTTCCGAGGCTCGGTGTCACATTATGCAGTGCCCACTGATAAATAGTAGGCAGAGAATGGACGAGAATGATTTTGAAGCGGGAGAAAATGTCCAGATGTTAGTAGCTCATAATGTTTTAATTTTCCCCAACGCCATCACCAAAGGTTTGTCTTTGGTTTATTTGTGTTATCACAACAGTGATGATGGAGTTAAATTCAGCCTTTGAAAAGAGGATTTTTGCTTGTTTCATTTATATTCTACCGTTCTTTCATTAAACATTTCTAAATATCCACGGGGCCCAATTCTTACAAAAATAAATCAGATAAACCTAGGGTTCTTGCCAAGTCAAATATCTACAGTTTCTGGCAATTATGTAATTTCCAATCCTGCTGTAGTAACTATTGCTGATAAGTCAATCGTCATAAAGAGAAATGTTCCAGACCAATCTTTATTAGTGTGTCCTTCACTGATATATGCAAAGTCTTATTTTAAAAGCAGAGTTCTAACTTTTTTTTCTGTCCCTAGTGAATAGCTTCTCATCATAACAATTTATATCTGGATAATGTCATTGTAAAATATAAAAATGGTAAATTAAAACCCATGAAATTAGGTTCTGCTGTTATTAATAAAAACTGCTCTGGTTTTCACCATTTTGTTATGATGGCACTGTCTTATAATGCAAGTTTGCAGTAATGTGTTTCTGGCATTGCAAGATGATTTGGCCCAGACAAAAGCAATATTTAGAAAGTTATTCTGTGGGACTGCTCTGGGAAGAAAGAACTTGAGAATCATGTGCTAATTTAAATACCTCCTTAAAGTTGAGGTTAAACACATTATTGATTAGGAAAGCCTTTTAGAGAGAGAGAAAAACTGTGCTATTCTGTAAGTGGTCTAAAGTAAACAAACTGAAAATACCAGCATGCTATTTTTTTTTTCCAGGGTTACATATCTGTTTGGTGCAGATATACATTGTTTAAAACACATATATTGGGGCTTCCCTGGTGACGCAGTGGTTGAGAGTCCGCCTGCTGAGGCAGGGGACGCCGGTTCGCGCCCCGGTCCGGGAGGATCCTGCGTGCCGTGGAGCGGCTGGGCCCGTGAGCCATGGCCGCTGGGCCTGCGCGTCCGGAGCGTGTGCTCCGCGACAGGGTGGGGGCCGCAGCAGTGAGAGGCCCGTGTACCGCAAAAACAAGCAAACAAACAAAACAACACATGTATTAAAATAAAAGCATTATTTTCAAATCATGATTTCTGCCTGTGCTTTGAGAGGAATCCTCTAGAGACATTCTCCTCTGTAGCTACAACTCACATGCTATGAACTTGCTTTTGTCAGGGTCATTACAATTTGTAGAATTTTAAAAAATTTTTATTGCAGTATAGTTGATTTACCATGTTGTGTTTCAGGTGTACAACAAAGTGAATCAATTATACGTATACATATATCCACTCTTTAAAGATTCTTTTCCCATATAGACCGTTACAGAGTATTGAATAGAGTTCCCTGTGCTATATGGTAGGTCCTTATTAGTTATCTATTTTATATATAGTAGTGTGTATATGTCAATCCCAATCTTCCAATTTATCCCTCCCCCCCACTTAACCCCGGTAACCAGAAGTTTATTTTCTACATCTGTACCTCTATTTCTGTTTTGTAGGTAAGTTCATTTGTACCGTTTTTTAGATTCCACGTGTAAGCGATATCAAATGATATTTGTCTTTCTCTGTCTGTCTGACTTACTTCACTCAGTGTGACAATCTCTAGGTCCATCCATGTTGTAGAATATTTTTGCTCAAATTATCTCATTCATTTCCTACAATAGGCCTAGGAGGCAGGGTTTCATTCCTATGTTATAGATGAGGAAGCTGGCACTGACACCAGGCCTTATGCACTGTTCCTTACAGTACTTCTAGCAAACAGAAGCCTTGGCACTCAACCAGACTTTCTGCCTCTTGACAACTCCCCATCCCAACATTGTATCAAAGTGGGGAGGTGGTCCTTTTTGATGCACAGCAATCGAGTTTTACTCTCCTGATGAAGATACCCAGGAGATAAACCCAGTTTTTATTTCTGTGAGGGGCAAGTAGCCTGACAGAGTCATCTTAGTTTAGATGCTGTCCTCTCATAAGACAGAGTGGTAGCCAAGATGAATTAAAAATCCTTTCCCACTTCGCACTCCCATGGATTCAGCGAGGAAGGAGCACACTGTTGGATGCCCATGTCAATGGAGGGCCCAGACTTTTAGGTTCTCTAACAGCAGACTTGCTTTGCAAACAGTTATCAGAAGTATTTTGTTGATGAAGACAGTGCATTTCAATTTTTGGAATATTTTCAGATGCCTTTCATTACCAGTATCGGTTAAAAAAAAGATTGGAAAAATGGGAATAGAACTTATTCCTAATGACTAGGAGTCATTTCTTTCAGGTCTCTGCTGCTTTGTGTATACTACAGGACTGGCTGAATGGAAACTTCCAGCCACAGGACATGTGGAGACAATCAGCCTAGATAGGTAAGAAAAATTCAATTGAGAAGCTAGACTGGATGAAGAGGACTAGAAGCAGGGTTCCACAGGCTCTTAAGGCAAGTGATATATAACTAAAGTATTTAGTGTTGCAAAGAGTGGGGCTAAAAGAAAATATGCTAACCGCACACCAGGAAAGCATTGGCTTTTCAGCAAAATGCAAACAAAAAATAAATACTGGAATAGTTTTGAAAGCAAATGATATTTAAGTTGCAAAAATTAGAATACAAAAGTCATCATTTCTGTTTCTCGGTTTGTATCCAATCAGCGTTGAGCTAATGGTATAGATTTCAAACTGTTGGACAGTGGTGCTTATCCTCACTTTCTGTGTGTAGGACCATGGCAGGTGAATGGGACAGTTGCAGGGTGAGTAAATGTATGATTGCAGGGTGATAAATGTATAATTCATCAGCTTGAGTCTTAGGGCCATTTTTGTGATTGAACAACAGGCGTTAACCCTGATGCTATCTACTTTTCACTTTCTCTACTAGGTTATAAAACCTCTTTGCTGGGATGGGTGTGTCTTGATGAATTGCAGGGGGAGGGGAGGTTATTCAGGGAGGAACCTGGACCTGCCCTTGCGAGTCCCCTTTGGCATGGTGGGTCATCTGGTTAAAAGGCCAGACAGTGAACATGTCCTCTTTTGAGGACCTCTGCTGGATTCCTTCTTATTCCCACTGATCTGGTTTTCAGACGTCAGTATTGTTGCTGATCTTCCTTTTAAACAACTGCACCAAAGAGTGAGTAGGTATCTTTTGAGGCTTGAGCTCAGTACTTAATGAAGGATCCAGAGAGCCATCTGGCTACCAAAATCTTCTGAAGGATGAGGTCTCACCTAAATGTGAGCCAGGGTTGTTTTTTTTTTTTTTTTCAAAAATTTTATTTATTTATTTATTTTTGGCTGCGTTGGGTCTTCGTTGCCACGCGCCGGCTTTCTCTAGTTGCGGCGAGCGGGGGCTGCTCTTCGTTGTGATGCGCGGGCTTCTCATTGCGGTGGCTTCTCTTGTTGCAGAGCACGGGCTCTAGGCTTGCAGGCTTCAGTAGTTGTGGCATGCAGGCTCAGTAGTTGTGGCTCGTGGGTTCTACAGTGCAGGCTCAGTAGTTGTGACGCACGGGCTTAGCTTCTCCGCGGCATGTGGGATCCTCCCGGACCAGGGCTCGAGCCCGAGTCCCCTGCATTGGCAGGCAGATTCTTAACCACTGTGCCACTAGGGAAACCCCGAACCAGGGAGTTTGAATCCTGCATCTTTTGGTCTATATCTTTATTGTTCATACAACAATGGAATAATAGCCATTGGATAATAGCCACAGGATAATAAGACACCAGTTGTCCAAGTGTCCTTCTTGTCCTTGCCCAACCTTCATCTTTCTGTGATCACAATGTGAGATAAGCATCTTCGGGATAAGAAGAAAGAAACCAGACAACTTCTTCCTTGTTTCTTCCCGTGGTAACAGGTATTCCAGTGGCGATCCCTGGCTTCCTGCTTTCGGGGCGTCAGAGAGGACCCACTGCTGGTGCAGCCCCACCGTCCCTCCCGCAGCTGTCGTGCCCTTCAGCCATGTGGCTGGGTGGCTCTGAGAGTCAGGGAAGGATTGCTGGGCTCCCACATATTTCACTTAGAATTCGTTTGGAAACGAGGGCACTTGGATTCCCTGCTGCCCTTGTTTTTTCTGGGACGGTTCAACAGGGATGGGGAGAGAGAGAGGTGTGCAAAGGCAATTATCGAGTGGCATACACAGCAAGATTCACAAGCTTGGAATCTCTTCAAGTGTCCTCCTTGGGAGTGTTTCCCTCTGAATTAGAAAGCTCTAGTTTTAGCTTGATGAATTGTTTTCCAGTTAATTCAGTTGTTTAGCCACTGCTGGAGCTAGAGTAATGAATATTCAGAGCAGAGAATGTGGCTTTCTGAAATGATATCATAAATAGGGTTGCCAGATTGAGCAAATAAAAATTCAGGGTGGCCAATTAAATTGGTATTTCAGATAAACAGTTAATGATTTCTTAGTATAAGTATGTTCCAAATATTTCATGGACCCTTTCAAATATTGCAAAGGACATACTTAGTATAAAAAAATTGTTTATCATAAATTCAAATTTGATTGAACATACATTATTTTATCTGGCAGCCCTAGTCGTGAATAATTAAGAGATGATATTGCTCTTATTCACAGAAGCTAATTTATTTGATCATGGATTAGTTTCACTAAAATCAATAGGTATATTAGATATTTGTCCCCATATTTTAGGTAAATTACAGCAACAGGATACAATATGTATTTTCTGTTTTATTTTGTGGAAATAATGGGGATATCCACACAAATAGGAATTTTCATTTGTTCCCTATATGGTAATATGCTATGCAGGTTTAAGTTTGTTTTTGTTTAACTCATGAGAAGAGTGATACCTAAATATAAAATTCTTTTTTTATGAAATTAGTATACATAGTAAATCATGGATTGGATATGCTGGGAAGATTGAAACAAATAATCTTATCCTGATTTTATTAATAATATATGCTCCTTGTAGAACATTTAGAAAATACATAATAAGAAAAAAATATACCTGTAATGTTTCTTATCTATTTTAGATTTTTGTGGAAATACTTAGAAAAAACATTTTGGGATTTTGTTGTAATAAAATTTTGCTGCCTTTTTAAAATTCCCAGTTATAACACGAATACCTTTTGATTTCATTAAAAGCATTTAGAAAACATTTAGTAGAGACATACTATTCTTTTTCCTTATTGCCTTGATTTCTTTTCCTGCTCTACTGCTAAAATGAGGATATTGATACATAGCTGCTTATTTGTATCACTGAGTATTTTCTTTGGACGTATTTCTGGAAATGCCTTTACTGTATATTTAGATCAAAACATTTTAAAGACTTGAGCTATTTGTTGCCAGTGCTGTTAGATGGAAACCGTTACACTCCCTGAGCTTTATGTTTCAGTGTTCTGGCCAGAGGGACATCTCCTGGAGTTTTTTGCCCTCCTACCTCTACGTACTCCTTTCCACAGGGGTAGGTATGACTTATCTAATGGGTGAGTTTCGAAGTGAGCGGTTTGGTTCAGCTTCTCCTAGATTCACTTTCTTTCAGATGTGGCTGCTGCATAGAGGGTACCTCTGGGTCTTCTCTTCACCATGAGGTCAGATTACCAGGGAACTCTGGCCAGCCGGGCATGTCTCCAGTCGTCCGCTCTGCTTTTGGGTAAACTGAAGTTTGGAGGAACTATTAGAAAGTTCCCTGTGAGTTTTCATTTAATTCATATCCTCTTATGTAGTTATTTTAAGTAATACATCTGATGTTTGGTCTCTCTGATAGCCATGTCTAATTCTCAACTAGTCCCAAACTCAAACTGGGGACAAAAGTATTACTATCACAAATTAAAACTCCAAATATAAGCTCATTGGCCAGAAACAACTGAGCCATAGTTAGAGGGACTGGAATTTAGAGCTGAAAATAACACGAGGAGAATGAGGTTTTGAGTTCCACTAGCACTGGCGTAAGGCGTTACACCTTTCTTTGCATAGGTCTTGCAGTTTTGGGCCTTTAAGCTTGGCAGCTGGCATGGGACATGTTGTAGCTGTGTGGCTGGGATTATTAGTTGGTATGGGACATACAGACTCTGGTAAACATGAATTGTGTGGTCCTCAGTGTGTCACCTTAATCTGATTACAGGGACATGGTTTTGGGTGAGATGGGAATTAGGTTGCTGGGAAAAGGAACCTCTTAGTTCTGTTAAAGATGATTTTAGAATTAGTATACAGACTTTCTAACTATTTGCCAATGAAAGCCTTTTTCTCTCTCTCTACTGTGGAATTTTTTAGCATGGGTAGCAGTCCAGGACTGAATCCTTCAAAGATAGCTAAGTTTCATAAAGAGTAGACAGTAGCAGTGTGTGGCTTCTGTCAGCTCTGTCTCAGTCTTGTGGAATTCCAGAGAAAATTTCAATGTCTGAGCTGTGTGAAAGAATTTCATGTTTCAAATCTTCCACGGGGCAGCTCTAGTTTTGGGGGGAGTCTGAAGCTTAAGAGAAAAAAACACAAAAATTTTAATATAAAATTAGGTGTGAAAGTAGACATTTATTAAGAATGTGAAACAAAATCACAACAAATTACTGGTGGCTTGGAGATCCAGATGTCTTTTTTTGAAATCTCTTTGCCTATTTATCTGGAATGCTTATCTAGAAATCCTTCCTGGTTGTGGCCTTGCTTTTCCTTTCCTGCCAGAACACTGTGGCTCCCAGAACTTACAATAGCAGGCCCTGATGTGTGAGCTTTATTAAACTTCATCAGTCTGTCTCTGCCTTCTTCGGAGCTTGTGCTTCCAGGCCCCATTAGTTATCTGAGAGAACATTCACCTCTTACGAAGGGATGATTACATACTTCAGGGAGATGATTCTCCCCACTTAGAATTCTGAGATTCCCCATGAACAGAAAAATGTGGTCTAACAGGACAAAAGTGCTCATTTCACAGGGTGCTAGGTTGAATTGTGTCCTGTGCTCCATTCGTATGTTAAATTCCTAACCTCCAGTACCTCAGCATGTGAAATAGGGCCTGTATTTGGAGATAGGGCCTTTAAAGAGGTAATTAATGTAAAATGAGGTCATATTAGTGGGCCCTAACTGAGTATGACTGGTGTCCTTATAAGAAGCAGAGATTGGAACATAGACACAGAGGGAAGACGATGTGAAGACACAGGGAGAAGATGACCATCCAAAAGCCAAGGAGAGAGGCCTCAGAGGGAATCAACACTGCCAACACCTTGATCTTGGGCAATCAGCTTCCAGAACTGTGAGAAAATTAATTTCCAAAGAGGAAGTACCTAAACCATCCGGGTATCAGATGTGGGAAAGCAGTGGATTTTCAGGTATAGTAATCATAGATCTTGGGCCAGAAGCCCGGGCCTCCCCACTCCCTTTTAGGGGTGACTGCTAACACACAGGCCTAAACTGTTGATCTTAGCTCTCCCAGCAATGTTTATTTGAACAATTCAACATTTCACTGAGTAGCAGGTGATTAAGCATGAATTTACAGAGAAGAGATCAGTAGGTGACATAGTTAGAAAACAGGCACCTCCTGTAGTCAGTGGTTACCCTTACTAGGAATGAGATCTGAAAAGGCAGCAGGAGGGATGGTTACAATGCATTTGCAACAGA